CCTTTGAGTCCAAGTTTTACGGAACAAATTCTTTTATTAAGGAGATTATTTGTTCTGTGAAGTTTGGATTCAGTGAAAGGGCCACACTTGAAGACCTAGAGGGCCACATGTGGCCTGGAGGCTGAAGGTTCCCCACCCCACGTCCTGGTTGGCCAGGAGCTGGCTCTGTGACACTAAACCAGTCAAATCCAGCCCCAACAATAGATGACTAAACCAAATGCAGTGTCTCCTGTAAGCCAGCGGAGGGCCAAGTTGATTCTTCCCAGAGCTCTCTTACTTCCACCCTAGGGCTCCCCATTCCTCCTCAGCTTGGTTCCTGCTTCTGCCTATAACAGCCTCGGAGCTGGAAGGGAACTCAGACGATGCACCTGAACAAAAACGTCCTCTCCGTCAGTTGCATCCAGTCTCTACTGAAGAGCGGCACGGAGGCTGAACCCAGCATCCCCTGAGAGTCCATTCTATGTTTTTGGACAATTACAACTGCTAGCAAGGTTTTCTGCATATTAAGCCTAAATACCCTGCCTGTATCATGTTTTTACATTCTTGTTTGCATCTTGTCTCCCCATCAGACTGCTTTCTCAGAAAGCAGGACTGGTTTTTTTGCCTTTCTTTATATGTTTAGCACTTCGCACATAATAGACACTAAATAAATGTTTGTTGACTAAAAGGCATGGTGATGAAAATTCATTCTACCTGCTACTTGTCTCTAAGTCTCTCCATGTGCTTGAGAAACTCCATTCCAAGGATGGGTTCCATTCCCAGATTATGAGACCTCTTCCCACTCCAATCCTCATCTAGCCTGAGTGCTGGAGGATCATGTTGAGTTTGCTAGGTCTTAGAACAAGAAATACAGGATTGAGGTTCTGCCATTAAGAGATAGCTGGAAGGGGCTTTAGAAGAGGATGTTTAAGACACAGAATGTTGAATGTCAGAGCCGAATGGGACTTTTGAAACCACTTAAGGCAGCAAAGTGGTGCAATGAATACAGCACTGGCTGTGGAGTCGGGAAGACCTGAATTCAAATCTGACTTCAGACATTTATTAGCTGTGTTACCCTGGGGAAGTCACTTAACCTCTATTTGCCCCAGTTCTTCATCTGTAAAATGGGGGCACACTGGAAAAGGAAATGGCAAAACACTCCAATACCTTTGCCACAAAAACCCCAAATGGGATCATGAAAAGTCTGACATGACTGAAAACAACTGAACAGCAAGGTCCAGCTCAAATGCCACCACCTCCATGAAGCGTTTCCTCCCTCCTCCTCCAAGGAGAAGTCAGCTTTCTGCATTTCCATGGCATTTTAGACCTCTTCTGTACTACAGTGGTATATATGTTTCAGCTTATGCAGCTATAAAAGGAATCATATCTTACTCTTTTTGGTGTATCTTGCAACAAGAAACCCATAGGCATTTATTAAGTGCAAATTAGGTGCTAATCACTTCCTTATGCTAGAAGCCCGGAATGCAAAGACAAAAGGAAATCCCCTGCCCTCATGAAGTTTACGTTCTACTAAAGAGTTAAGACATACAGAAACTAAGCATGCACAAGGGACCGGCACTGAGCTTCTGACTTCATTGGTAGAGGAAACTCCCTGAATGAGCAAAGTCCTATTCCCAGTGCAGGGTGGTGCTTTTTTTCTATGGCTTTTAGTCTTTGAGAGTTACCTAGAACACTGAAAGGGTAAGTGAGCTTCTCAGGGTCACACACAGCCAGGAGGAAGACTTGAACTCCTGGATTACTAAATGTAGACAAAATAACTTACCAGGAAAATTGGCGGGGGTAGCTGACGGGTGGAGATCAGGAAATGCTTCACACACAAGAAGAAGCCAGAACAATGTTTTGAAAGAAACAAGGGACTGTAAGCGACAGAAATGAGGAGGAAGAACATTCCAGGTAGGAGGAACTACCGGTGGAAACCTGGGTAATACGGTGTTATACCGAAGAACAGCAAGGTCAATTTGATTGAGCCAGAGAGTGCAGGAAGAGGAGTAATACATAATCAGGTTGGAGAAGTAAGTTAATGCCAGGTTGTGAAAGGCTTTGAAAGCCAAACAGAGGAGCCGGTACTTGATCCTGGAAGCAAAAGGGAACCAGCGCCGTTTACTGAGCAGGGGAAGTGACTTTTACTTTATGAAAATCACTTTGGTAGCTAAATGGAGGAGAGATCAGAGTGAGGATGGATTGGATCAGGAAGGCCAATCAGAAGACAACGGCAATAATGCAGGCAAAAGGTGACAAGGACCCACAGTAAGGCAACTATTGTGCGAGCAGAAAGAAGGGGGTGGACGTGTTGAGTAAGAAATAACAAGATTTGGCAACCGATTGGTTATGTGGGGTGAGGAAGTGTGAGGTGTTGAGGATAGCACCCATGTTGAAATCCTCAGTAACTGAAGGATGGTGGTGTCCTCAACAGAGACAGTACTGGTTGAAAGGGGGTGAAATGGAAGTCAGTTTTAGACATGTTGAATCTGAGATGCCTAGAGGCATGTCAGTTTGAAATATTCAAAAGGCATTTGGAGATATACAATCAACTCAGGACAGAGCCTCTTGATAAGGCCACTGAGTAAGCACAGAGAGAGGACGGAGCCCAGGACCACTCTATGCCAGTCTAAATGGAGTCTAGGATGGTATTAGCTTTTTTTGGCTGCAATATCACATTGCCCACTCAGTTGGAACCACAATCCACTATAATTCCAAGATCTTCTTCACACGAACTGCTTTTCTCAATTAGGGAGCACGATACGGCTGATGAATCAGCAAAGGAGACTGTATTCTTACCTGTCCTGCAGGTAAGAAAACCAAGAGAAAGCAGTGTCACGAAAACCTATGAAGAGTGTGCAGGACTACCCAACACCACAGAGAGGTTCAGAAGAGTAAGTATGAAGACAAGATCCTCTGACCTGACAAAAAAGAGAACATAGGTAACTTTGGAGAGAGGAATTTCAGTTGAGGGATGAGATTGGAAGCCAGGCAACAATGACAAAGGGTTGAAGAAGAGTGATACAGGAAGTGAAGACAACAACAGCTGTGGACATGAGGTTTTTTTTGTCTTTTTTTTTAGGAGTTTGGCTATAAAAGAAAGGAGAGCTATAAGATGATAGCTTGAGAGCCAGTAGGACCTCCTGAAGTTTTTTCCCAGGATAGGGGAGACAAGCACATTTGTAGAGAACAAGAATCAATAGCTAGGGGAAAATCAGTAGATAGGAAAAAGGTGTGGGGGGGGGGGAATAGAGAAGAGGCTCACAGTGAATGGTCTCTAATTTCTCAATCTAATATGATTCAGCTTAAAGGATGAGGGGGAGAAAATGGTGGGAGAGTTGAAAAGTTTGAACAGCTTCTTTAGGGAGCAGGAAAAAGAATGAATTAGAAAGGAGTAAAAAGACAGTCTTGCTGGGGTGAGCACAAACAGAAGTGACTTGCCAAGGGTCACACAGCTAAGAAGTATCTAAGGTTAGATTTGAACTCAGGTCTTCCCAATTCCAGGACCAGCGCTCTATGCACTATGGTGCCACCTATCATGCCACACGGTAGTACAGAGTAGCTTTTAAGTATAGATTTGCCTTGCTTGGTATTCAAGGCTACACAATCTGTTGCTAACCTACCTTTTCAGTCTGAATTCACCTCCACTGCTTCTATGCCTCTCCGAAACAGTCTATCTGAACACATTTTGTATCACCCTACCTCCATGACTCATAGTTTTCTGGGCCTCAGTCTACCGGTTTAATCTTGACCCATCAGAGGCAGTGGGGTATGGTAAAAGAAGAGCTGCATTTGAAATGGGTTCAAATCCTGGTTCAGAAGCTGCTCACTTGTATGACCATGACTAATCACCTAATTCCTCTGAGCCTCCGTTTCCTCATTTGAAAAAACTGGAAGGAGAGGTCAGAGTGGACTAGATGATCTATACATTACCCTTTTAAGCCTATCCCAATTACCACCCCCCTCTAGGAAGGCTTCCCAAATCTCTGAATTAGTAATGACCTTCCCTATAACCCAACCCCCAATGCACCTCTCCAACCTCACAAGATGGTTCATCTGTGTCTCTCTGATGCACTGATCATTAGTACAGTTATTCTTACATGTGCCATATTCCTGCCTACCCTTCTTACCTACTCCCTTCACACCTACCTCAGTGGGTCATTGGAAATAAAGTACTTTGTAAGAGTTATAGAAATATCAGTGATTATGATTTCATTGTGAGATGTTACTAGCCTCAGGAAGACAGGTGTCGTATCTTATCTAAACTTTCTATTTCTTCTGGCTCTACACATTACACGTATACAATACATTTGTTTAATTGCTGGTGCCATGAATGCTGAATTCCCACCTCCCTCTGCTGGACTGTCTTGTTACTACACTCCCAGTCCATATCATGTCTCAACCAAAGTGGCAGCTCTCCATCTCCATCTACTCTCTCAATAAAGGACCTAATATGGCAGCTTTTTCCCCACCTACCTGGCTTAGAAGGTTACCTTATGTGAAAATGGAAGCCATGTAAAATAATCATAGGGTCCAACAGCAAAGGTAGTAAGGGGTCCTGCCCCTGCTTTGTCCCCCACAAAAGGAAACTCTGCTTGGTGTAGCTCGGTTCCATTCCCCGGCATCTTCTTCATCATATGGAGGGTGGCACAGATTCACAAATACAACTCTACAAGCCACTGACACTCCCTTCACTAAACCCAGAGAACCACATCTCATTAAACATGCACTGTGGGCTTCAGGCTTAGTGTCCACCTGAGGTCTCCACAACTTATCTCATCAAATTAAGTAAGAGCTCATCACTGAGGATTCCCATTGCCCTAATGGTTACTTCCTTTGCCTTTCCAAACCCCTCCCCCCAAAGACCCTTGCAAATAGATTTCCCTGAACCATGGATTCAACTCATTCTCTCCTACAATCCCCTAAATGCTGGATTCGGAAGGGAGGGGGAAAGATGTCGTACCAGCCGGAGATGTATGAGGAACTGGGAGAAAACGCAATGTAGGAAGAGAAAGATGAGAAACTTTCAACTATTAAATCTGTTTAGTAAAGACAGTTTTGATCATACAAAACAACAAGTTAACAATAATCCGAGGGCCAGACATACCATTGTGCGAGGGGAGGGGAGGTCAGGAGGCATGGCAGGCACTCAATCCAATCCCCCAATGCCCCTCCCCCATATGCCCCTGAGGGAGATGAAGAACTGAAGAGCTACTCCCAGCTCCTTCCCCTCTGCCCCCTCCACTGCACCAGTGGGGGGAGAAGGCCTAAGACACTAAGGGGGTTCCTCCAATTCCACTCCTACTTAATACTGGGAAGAAGGGGGAGGAGGTGTCTCTCCACCCCCATTGGCCAGCTGGAGAAGTTATGGAGGGGCTAAGAGAGCCATCAGTGAAGAAGTGGGTAGAGGTGGGGCATCTTTGGTGAGAAGGCTTCCTCTCTGTCTTCCAGGTCACTCAAAGGAAGGACAAGAAGGAGAACCCAGAGAAAACAAGCCTAGAGAAGGGGAAAAGGCAGGGGGGTCCCACAGCTGGAGGGAGGGCCAAGCAAAACATAAAATCTTTATGGTCACAACAAATAGCCAGGCTCATCCCCAGACAGGGTGGGAGGCTAAAAGGTGGCCCAAGAAGAACAACAAAAAAAGGCTAAAATCCAGGAAACATAAAACCAGGAGGGTTTTAAAATAAGGGTGAGAGGCAATTGGGTTAAGTTGGATGGCCCTATCCACAGAGGCCCAAAGGACCTTATCTCCCACTCATCTTCCAGAGTGGGGCTCTCTGTCTGCTCCCAGCTTAAGGCAGCAGACATTGTGGGCTCAGACTGGCTCCAGATCTGCGCAGGAGGGGGTTGGGGGGGAATGGAGGAAGGTGTGCAAAAAAAAAAAAAACCAAGGCCCTGGACACTATACTCCCCACTCCCTGGCCCTCTATACCTCTGGTTAGGAAAGGGGAGGGAAGGTTGTTTTTTTTTTTTTCCAAACACATAGTGTTCAGGGAAAGTGGGAAAAGAGGGATCATTCTGAAGCCTAGGACCACTTCCTCCTCCATTCCATTCACTGAGGAGGGAGGGAGGGAAGACTCTGAAATTCTGCACTAAATGCTAGATTTGGAGGGAGGAGGAGAAAGAGGAACGCTCCCGTCTCTTTTATCTCAGTGCCAATGGCAGGGAAGCCCTTTCCCTGCCCTCAGAGCCCTGCCTACTAGAGAGAAGACCCTGAGCTAGTTTCAGTCTTAGCCAGCTTCCCGTACAGATGGACATGTGGACCTTTCCCTGGGCTGCGTCAGAGCCTAACAGAAAAGCCCCTCTGAGCAGCCTCAGGGTCCCCTACCCACCACAAACACACTACTTCTGCACACCGATTCATAACCCCTTGTCCACACACACATCCAGCCCTGTATGCCTACCCCTTGGCCACAGCTCCAGCTGTCCAAGGCCTCTGAGTTAAGGCAGGGGGAGCCCCCTGAGGCCAAGCCCCCTGGATCCCATACCACCAAGGCTCTGTCTTCCACAGGGCTCAGCCTTCCAGCCACTTGGCCCCCAAGTCTACTGAAGCCTCAGACTGGGGTGAGGGGAGGGCAGAGGGAACAAGGTAACAAACACTGAGCCATCTCCCTGAAGTGGCTCCCCAAAATACCTTTTTAAAAAAATCATCCTGTGACTTGGGAGGGAAAAGGGGGAAAGGAGGAGAAAAAAATAGAAATTTTATAAAAATTCAAGGCCGAATCAGCCAAGAAAAACTGCACAATGAGGAAGATCTTGAGAGCAACTTGCCCCCTTGTCCTCACCCTCCCAACCTCCCAGGAGTCAGGTCCAGGAGCTCCAGGGAAGGTGGCAGTTAAAGGACCAGCATTCATCTGCTGACAAGTTTCTGGGCTCCACGCAAATAGGAGCTGGGGGAGGACAGCTCTGTGTCTCTGCTTTTAAAAAATAGAGAGTTATTGCTTTCCCTCCATCAGGGCCGGAGGAGTGCTGAGAGTGGCTCAGTGAGCGAGGGCAGCTGCCTCCAAAGCCCGGGCTTTCTTCCGCCTCTTTAGGAGCAGAGGGTTGGTGGCATCCTCAATCTTCTTAATCTTGATTTGCTCGTAGTCAACACGCATGGTGGCCAAGGCACTGGTCATCTCTTCCTGAGGAGGAGAACAGCAAGGGTGAGTAGAAGGAGAGGAAGAAATGAGGCCAGATGAGGACAAAATGAGAAGGGAAGACCCAAGTGAAGCACAAAGGTACAAGAAGAGGGAGCAGAACGTTTAAAAAAAATGAAAAGAAAAAGAAAAAAGGTAAGAGGACATAGAACAGTCAGAACATTGGGTCTGGCTAACAGCACCTCCATATTAGGGATGGACCACAAGCTTCACATGGACACCATCACTATTTCAAGCAACTCTCCCCAGACCCCAAAGGACAGGACAGCAAGTTTGGAAGAAGGATCACTGGAGGAAGTCCAATGACCCAATTCAACAAACATTTCTTACGTGCCCAGGAAGCCTTTCCCAATCACTCTTAATGCTCATGCCTTCTCCCTGTTGATCGTTTCCCATTTCACATGTATATAGTTTATTTGTAGATGATTGTTTCCATGTTTATGGAATGTCCCCATTAGCTTGAATTCCTCAAAGGCAGGGACTGTATTTTGCCTTTCCTTGTATCTCCAGCTCTTAACTGGGTATCTGGCATATGGCAGGTGTTTAATAAATGCTTATCGACTGACTGCCCAGATACAAAGCACAGCCAGATCTGGGTTTGAATCTAGGCTCTGACACTTATGTGTAATTTTTGCCTATGTCCTTAGATGATCTATAAGGTCTCCTCCAACTCCAACATTTTATGACACTAAATAAAGTGACGATTCATCATGGTGGGGAGTGGTAACAGAACCTATGAGAAAACTGAATCCTTTTCCCATAGCACGGACTGGAGTTTGTCTAGGGATGACCAGGAGTTTTGTTTCTTTGACACAAATGCCCTGAGACCACAAAAGACCAAAGCCACCAGATTCTATAGCATCCTCCCTCTCCCTCCTTTATTATCAAATGAGATATTTGTGAAGCGATTAATTAGTACATTGCCTGGCACATAGTAGGTGCTACATAAATGCTTATTCCCATCCCCATCCAGGAGTCAGCACCCACCCTTTCATCCCCACTCCAACTCCAAAGCAATGCCTTTCCTTTACCTTCACATCCTCCCACCTCTCCTTGTCTTCCTTCAGGACTCTGCTGGTGTGCAGTGGAGTTTGAGGGACCTGCATTGATTGCTTGGATAAGAGAAAAGGGGATTTAGGATCAGACCAAAGTCAGGAGGATTCCCCTGGAGAAGAGCTGACTCCTGCTCTCCCCACTCCTAGAGGGGGTACTCCTGGGTTTGGTTGGGGTCCTCCCAGCAGACCCATCTCACCATAATCCAAGGATGATTCATAAACTCAGTGATGGTCATTCTTTGAGTGGGTTCTGTCTTGAGCAGATTCCGGATAAGCATTTTGACTGCACAAGAGGAAAAGGAAGTTGATTTCAGAATTCAAGCTCCATGCTTCCCTACCCCCACTACCAACTACCTATAGTTCTAAAAGTGAGAACAAGTTCCCATTTGGGATAATATTCCCCAGTGGAGAGAGCACTAAGGTTTGACCACAATTAAGCTTTTCAAAGTCCCCACAAGCTCTGATAACCTAATCAGGCATTCTCTCAAATTCCTTCACACAATTCACTCTCTCTCTTTCTCTCTCTTTCTCCTTCCCTCCCTCCCTCTCTCTTGCAAAATATATGGCTTTATACATCCACAGATGAATAAAAATACCCACATGGGTGTATTTTATATGTCCCAGAAGGCTGAGGTCTCTTACCTTCCTCTGATACCTCTGACCACTCTGGATTGGGAAACTCATACTGGCCCATTCGGATTCGAGTCTTCATGCCAGGAGAGATGGCAAGGCCATGGTTGGAATAGAATGGAGGGTAACCACACAGTCTAGACCCAGAGAAAAGAAGAGGAAAAGAAGGGAAAGATGAGAGGTGTTATTTGAGAAACATATACCAGGAAAAAGGGGGAAAGCCTGCTTCTTCCCTTGTCCCACTGATAGAAGAAAGAGGATCTCAATAACTTGGTTCCACTGTAAAAAGCAATCCAAGAATAGTAATCAGGAATCCTGTGCACCAAGTAGTTCCCACCTTCTTTTCAGCTTCAAGGATAGGGGCAGGGAAGAGAGGACAGATTATTTGCAAAGATCTCCCACAGAAATCCCCATCTAACCAGAAAAATAATGGTAGTACCCTCCCACCCCACCACACACTGTTCATCCAAGCTCTGCCCACAGTGCCTGCCCACCACCTTCCCACAGCACTCACAGGATATACATGATGACACCCAAGGACCACATGTCACAGGATTTATCATATTTCTCAGGGCCCAGGACCTCTGGAGCTGTAAAGGAGAAGAGATTACTGGGATTGGAATATACTCCTCATCAGTCCCTCAGCAGAACCAATGGACAAAGGGGTTATCTTCATTCTCCTGGGTAGACTGCTACATCCATCCCAAGCCCCACAGAAGAGACCCATTTGGGAAAACCCAAATGGAGAATGATGTAGACCTTCCTTTCTCCTGGAAGGAGAGGAAACATCTGTCATTCCCCCCAGATACTCCAATGCTACAACCATCAATAATTTGATGCTAGAATTTAGAGGTGGAAAGGAACCTTACATACCATCTAGTTCAACCCCATCATTTTAAGGATGTGGAAGACTGAGGCTCCTAGGGATGAAATGACCTGTCCAAGGTCCCAAGACTATAAAAATATGGAAACTGTAAACCTTAGTAGGCCATTTTAACCACGCTCTTGCTTCTGGTCATGACTATTTATCAAAACCCACCTCAGACTGAGGCTCAAAATGCATGACTTTCTTTGGGTTGTCGGCAAGGGGGAGAGGTAGGGGAAGCGTGAACCCTCTGAATCTACTCTTAGAACTTACCCACATAGTATGGTGTGTAGCAAGGTGTAGTAAGGGAATTATGGCTGGTGGTTTCCTTGGCAAAGCCAAAGTCAGTGAGCTTCAGGATGGCATTGGGCCGTTTGGAGGAGTATAAGAGATTCTCAGGCTGCACAGAAACAAAAGAGAGAAAGAGAAGGAAAGGCCTCACTGAGCCTGTGGGACCAAAACTAGGAGCCACGAGGACAGCCAATTCATCCATTCAACAAACATATATTAAGGGTCTGCTATACCTCAGGCATTGTGTGTGTGTGTGTGTGTGTGTGTGTGTGTGTGTGTGTGTGTGTGTGCGCGCACGTGCGTGCGTGTGTGTGTGTTAGGTACTGGGGACATGACAGAAAGAGGGGAGGGGGTGGTGACCAGGAAATCAAGAAAGACCTCATGTAAGAGGTAACACCTGAGCTGAGCTATGAAGGAAGCTAGAGATTGTGTCAAAGGTCCCTAGGGCGTGGAGGGAGTACATTTGGCATGGGGAACAGCCTGTGCACCAGCAGAAAAACAGAAGTTGGAATGTTAGATACAGAAAACAGTATTTACTGTTTGGCCTATTTAGGCCAAGTTGGCTGGACTGGAGAGCAAAGGAAAGGAAGCAAAATGCAATAAATCTGGAAAGGTAGGTTAGAGCCAGATTGCGAAGGGCTTTAAACAGTAAACAGGAGTTTTCCCTGTATTCCAAAGCTCATGGGGATGCACTGAAGCTTCATTCACTCACTTATTCATTCCTTTAACCAATCAACAAGTACTGAATGCATCTTAAAAGCTTAGAACTCTTCTAGATGCTGAGGAGAATATAGAAGCACATGCAGTCTTCAAACAGAAGGAGCTTATAATCAAGTTTGGGAGAGAAGATACACAAAACAGCTGTGAGAAAACAATATAAGACAAGAGAATTAACAGCTTTCATGGCTGCAGAAGTACAATGAAGGAGATATTCCTGTGGGCTGGAAGAAGGGACGACTTCATGGGGGAGGCAGGGCGTGATTTGGGTTGGTCTAGATAGGCAAAGAGAAGAAGGGAGGGGAGGTGAAGGCAAATTCTTCTCCAAAATCCAGCAAGCAAAAGGTCATAACCCAAATCTGATGAAGTCAGCATGGACCTGGCTACGCTCAGAGCTGGCAGCAGCCAAAATCAGGGAGAGGCTGTCTCAGCCTACAGAAGTGGGTATAGGGAAATGAACCAGACTTCTCATCATCACTGTGGATATTCATCTGGGATAAATGAGCTGACAGTTAACACTTTACAGTTTACAAAGTACTTGACATACAATAGTTTGCTTGATCCTCATAACAACCCTATGATTTTACAGATATTTTTGTCCCCATTTTGCAGATAACTGAGGCACAAAGAATGATAATCAACATTACATATAAAGCTTTAAAGTCTGCAAAGCACTTAATATAAATTATCTCACTTTAGCCCCATAACAACCTGGAAGTTGATATTAACAGGCATTATCCATACTTTATGGAAAAAGAAGCTGTGGTTCACAATAGTTAGGTGACTTGTCCAAGGACACACAGGGATTGACAAATTTAAATACCAGTTTTCTCACTCCAGATCCAATGATTTCCCTACTATGTCACTGCCAACCCTTGCTAGTATGATTCCACAGTCTCCAGATTGGGGGGAAGGGGGCCTCACAGCAATTACCTTGACATCCCTGTGCGCAATGTTGATTGAGTGTAAGTACTGAATTGCCTCACCAATGCTCTTCATGATGTCAGAAGCCTCTGGGGGAAGGAATAAGAAAGGGTCTTGAAGCTTGAAGAAATTCTAACACAACTCCAACTCCGTACTGAGGGGCCCTAACCTCAATATGGAACTGCAATAGAGTAGAATGGTGCTCAGCATTGGAAGCCTTGAGCTTCACAGGTGTGAGCCCTTAGACAGCATCAGTCAACCCACAAGGATCTCCAGCACTAGGATACAAAGAAACAAACACTCTCTGTACTGAAGGGGCTTACATTCTAATGATGCCATCCCTAGAACACAGGCTATTAACTTGGGATCCACAGACACCCCTCCTCCAAGGTGTCCACGCCAAAATTTCAAGGGGTTTATGAACTTGGATACAGGAAAAATATTACTTCTTTATGTTCATTAACTTTTGGCTTTCTTTGTAATCTTAAGCATTTTACTTTGTGCATTTAAAAACATTCTGAGAAGGGATCCATAAGCCATACCAGACTGCCAAAGACATCATGACACAAACAAGTTTAAGAACATTGCCCAAGAATGATGTCAGCAAGGTCAGTCATGACCCCAGCCTGGAATTACTCAGCCTGCCAGAATTCCAGAATGGGGTAGGGGGCAGGGAGCCACGGCTAATAGAGTAGCCCCTTAACCCTACTATAGAAAGTGTCCTTTGGCAATCGTAGTTTCTAGGGAACTTACTCAGACCTTTTTGCCTCTCACAAGAGGGCTTGCTTACCTCTTTCGGTGAAGGCCTGGTCTCCTCGGTCTTGGATGCGGCTGAAGAGCTCTCCACCATTCATGCTGAAATAAAAGCCAACAGACAAGCGATGGGTTTTGAAAATGAGCCTCTAGCTATCTCCCACCTACCTAATCAGGCACCATCCTTCAACAATGACCAAAAAAATTAAGCATTTACATGTGAAGATTTCCCTGTTACTGCCAAGATTGCTATGAGAATGAACTAAAAACTGGATAACTGGATTGAATGGGGCTGAAGAAAATGCTGGAGAGGAACAGAGAGGCAGAAGGGTTGAGCAGGGAGTAGAGCTGGAAGGAGTAGGAGGTTGAGACAAAGGGACAAGCAGGGTATGAGGGTTTTGAGGGGGAGGCAAAAGGAGGGGTGTGTAGAAGAGTCTTTCACCATTCCATGATAATCAGGAGACACTTCCTTCCAGCATACAGGTTCTCATAGACATCCACAATCTTGACAATGTGTGGGCACTGAGAGGCTCTCCAATGCAAATCCACCTCCCTTCGGGCCTTGGGGCAATCCTGAAGCATCTGCAGAGAGAAACAGAGCCCATGAAAGAATGACCAAACCACGTGAACCAGCAAAGCACCCTGAAGGAGAGACAGGAGGCAAGTTACCAGGTGAGTCAACACCACTAAACCACAACCTTCCACGAAATGCAGCTACAAACAGTGCAGGAGCCTGAATTTTAGAACCTCAGGAATAGGAGTGTCCTCCTGACACCTCATTCTACTTCTTGACCAAACCCTGCATTGGAGGGAGCAATTCACTGGGGACGACTTACCAGTGTCAGGAAGGTGAGCCCAAGAGCTCTGGGGAGTAGCACCATCCCTCCTCTCTACCCCTGAATCCTCCACTCACAGCCACTGGTCCTGCTTCCAGCCCAGCCATCCCAGCCACCATCTTGAGAGTACAAACCTCATGGAGATGTGGCCTAGCAACTGCTTCTGTGGGTTACTGCAGTCATAGCTACTGAGGACCCAGAAAAGAAACTTCTTGCCACTAGAAAATTATAGGATTTGATCAGCAGAAATGTCATTCATTAAAGTAGAGGCATTGCCACGTGTTTTGTCAATTGTCCTAGCCATGTCTCTTGCAGCTGAAGCCCTCAGTATGTTTAGTCTTCTCCTATCTGAATGAAAACTCCATGACAGCAGGGACTAACTTACTGTTTTATCTATTCTCAGCACTTAGCTGAATACTTTGCACATAATAAGAGTTTAAGGCAGTTAGGTGGTGAAGCGGAGAGAGTGCAGGGCAGGAAGTCGGACAGAGTGCAGGGCAGGAAGTCGGGATTCATCTTCCTCAGTTCAAATCCAGCCTCAGACACTAGCTGTGAGACCGTGGGCAAGTCTCTTAACCTTGTTTGTCTCAGTTTCCTCATCTGTAAAATAAGCTGGAGAATGAAATGGCAAACCACTCCAGTATCTTTGCCAAGAAAACCTCAAATGGGGTCACAAAGGGTTGGACACTACTGAACAACAAAAAGAGTTTAATGCTTTCTTCTCCATTCATTTGTTTATTCTTCTAATGTGGGAAAATCACCACCCTGCAATTAGTTTGGTGATGAGCTTCTCCAAAAATCAGTTGGAAGGCTCCCCAAACAACCCTGATCCCCCAGGTCTGTGCTTGAAACCTTTCCCGTATGAGGGGACCTGCCAATGTTTGACAGCACAGCCTTTGAAAACCAGGGTCAGGAGTGTGTCTGTACCACAGTGAGGCATCAGAATATTAATAGCTCACAGTTACCCAGCACATTGCAGAGTCCTTCCCTCACAATAGTTCTATGACAGAGGCAAAATACCAAGCACTTTTGGACAAGACCTGTGGTTTCACTCCTATGGAGTATGGGAACTCCCACTACCAATGTTCTGTAAGTTACAGTCCTGAACTATAAGCTGGAGCAAATAAAGGGCTAGGCTGATTTCAAATTCTGCCTCAGACACTTACTCGCTGTGTGACCTTGGGCAAGTGACTTAACCCTGTTGGCCTCAGTTTCCTCCTCTGTAAAATTGGGATGATAACAGCTTCCAAGGGTGTTGTGTGGCTCAAATAAGATAATATTGTAAAGTCCTTAACAGTATCAGGTACATAGCAGGCACTTAGTAAATGCTAAGAAACTAAATAAAGTTTCCTTCATTCCTTCAACAGCTGTGGACAGCACTGAGCAGGGAAGTGATTTGCTCTGGGTGATCAAGAGGTAGCATTTGAACTCCTTTTCTAAGCCCAGCTCTCTATTCACTGATACCACCTTTTTGGTACAAGTATTATCAAGCCTGTTTTTCAGATAGAGTAACAGACTTGGAGAGATGACATAGCTTATTCAAAGTCACACACCTGTTAAACCTAAGAGCCTGGATCGGACTCATGTCTAAGGTTCCTACCACTTCACCACCCTCTCTCTCATAGTGATTGTGAGATCAGAAATAAACCAAACCTGATCTCTCTGGGATATTTTGGAACTGGCAACCATCACAGACAGCTTCCTACCAGTTTCTTAGGTTACATTTTCCAGCTGAGCCCATCTGCCTATGGAGCTGGGATACAGACGCTCAAGAGACGGAAATGTCTGATAGAATGGTTAAACTAAGACATAGAGGGAGGTGGAAGGGGCTTAAATAGAGGAGAAATTGGAAGTACCTCCAAGGGTCACCTAGCTGCATCCCCAGAAGGTACTTTAGGACTCATATGTCCAAATCCATTCTACTTTTCTGTCCACTCAGGTGGCTTCCTGTTTTCTTAACCAGCTAATAAGTAGTTATTGAACACCCACCAGGAGGCCCAGCATAATGCTAGGCACTCTGAGGGGACATAAAAGACTGACAAGGTCCTCCTCATCAAAAATCTTACAATCTCATAGAAAAAATATATAAGATTCCCTGCAAAAGACAATCATGAAGACTAGACAGCATGCAAATGAGCAGTGACTTGTATTCATAGGTGAGGATTGTGGCATGGCCACATGTGACAGTGAGGGTGGCATGGCCAGGGAAGGCTACTTGAAACAGCTAGGGTTTGACCTGGTCTTTGAAGGATAGACAGGATATGACCAGCTAGAGAAGAGAAGGAAGGGCATCCTAGGGTGAGGAGAAACAAAGGTGCAGACAGGGGAGGAAGAATGCTTGAGAAGTGTGGGAGACTGAGGGAATGCCTGGATTAGAAAAAAGGTTAAGTAATGGGGGGCTGGAAGCAAGAAAGAGAAGGAATTAAAATTCGATAGGCAGGGTTGGAGACAGATTGTGGAGGACTTTGGAAACCAGGAAGATGTGTTTTCAGCCTGAAAGAGAAAGAATATCCCAAGAGAATGAAGCTTAGTGTAGGTGCAAATACTGGGCTTCCAGTCAAAGGGCCTGGGTTTGAATCCAGGCCATGCCACACACATTCTCTGTGTGACCCTGGACAAATGATTACCCATCCAGACTGAGTTTCTTCACCTGTAAAATAAGAGGGTTGGACCAGATAATATCTAAGGTCTCTTCTAGCCCTAAATTTCATGATCTTTTGAGTCCACGCTGGGGATGGTCTTCCAGAAGACCCTTTAGCTAGATGATCCTGTGACTTCCTTGGAAGCCATAAGAACATGCCCAACCTGGCTCCTGTCGATTACTGCCTGCCTGACCTTGGGCATGTCCATATCTGTAAAACAAGGGGGTTAGAGTAAATCCGCAATCCTTTACAAAATAAATGAAATATTGCTATGGAGTCACACTGCCACCTAACGGCTATGTTGAAACACTACACAGATTCTCAGTCGGGGCCCCCTCCCCTTTTAACTTGATTATTAGCCCAACCCCAAGCCAGAAATAAACTTGAATTTTCCTTTCTCATACTCTAAGGGATGGATATGTACAATGGGCTGCCACTAATCTGTTTACCTATTACAAACTCCTCCCATGGCACCAAGCAAGAGAAAGAAATCTTCACTATCTGATTCCATTTAACAAACACTTTAAAATACATCTCATATGCTAGGAGTTAGACTACAAAGCTAAAAACCAAACAGTCCTTGTCCTCCAGGAATTTTCATTTGCAAAGTGGGGAGGGGAAAGTGGGGGGTGGGATACAATACACACCACTGGATCATGGGTTTAGAGCTAGAAGGGATTTTTTTTTAACTTTAAATGTGAATGGATCTTTAAAATTTTTATATTAATTTATTTATTTTTAGTTTTCAACACTCACTTTCACAAGATTTTGAGTTCCAAATTTTCTCCCTATCCAGAAGGGATTTGAGAAGACCATCCAGTCCAACCCCCTCCTTTCACAGATGAGATAATGTACATACAAGTAAAGTGTACATACTAAATAACAGAAACAAGCATTTATTAAGCACCTACTATGTGCCAGCGCTGTGCTAAGCAGTGTTTTAGAAATATTATCCCATTTGATCTTCACACTCATCCTGGGAGGTAGGTGTTATTATTATTTCCATTTTACACATGAGGAGACTTGAGGCAGGCAGAGGTTAAGTGACTGGACCAGGGTCACAAGTCTAGTAAGTGTCCAAGGCTGGATTTGACCTCAATTCTTCTTGACTCTAGCCCAGTTGCTCTATCTGTTGCACCACCTGGCCCAAAGGAATTTAACAACTTGAAAGGTAAGGAAAAGCTCTGTGTATTAAGTAGCATCCGAATTGTAATTTGAAGAAAAATAAGGATTCTAAGAGGGCAGCTAGGTGGTGCAGCAGACAGAGTGCCTGGCCTGGAGTCAGGAAGACTGTTCTTCCTGAGTTCAAATTCAACCTCAGACATTTACCAGCTGTGTGACCCTGGGCAAGTCACTTAGCCCTGTTTGCCTTGGTTTTCTTATCTGTCAAAATGAAGGAAATGGCAAACCACTCCAGCATCTTTGCCAAGAAAACCCCAGATGGGGTCATGGAGAGTCAGACAACAATTGAAAACAACAAAAAAGGTTTCTAAAAACTGTGGAGTGTCTATTTAAGACATGAAGGATTTAAGGTTAGGTTTTTAGGATTTAGTGTTTGACTGTGCAAAGGAAGGAAGACAGGAAAGAAGAATATGGGGAAGACTAAGCTGGCCAGCTTGACTAGAAAGGAGAGTGCATGAAGTGGGGTAATAGGAAATAATTTTGTAAAGGTCAGTAGGAGGCCACATTGTGTAAATGCCAGCACTATCCACTGATGAGAGAGAAGAAGAAAAAAAAATCTGATGCTCAGGGAGGAAGAAACGATGCAGGCTTCAAATTCACCTAGTTCTTACGTTGATACCTTTCCTATACTGATGAGCCTTTTCCAGCATACTCTTTGTCGATTTGCCCACAAACTACCGGCCAGTGCTGCTGCTGACTGATGGCAGGCAATTGAAAGATGGCTAGTTGAGGTTAAAGAGGCAGTTTGAGACACAGAAACAAAGCAAAACGAGTAAGCCTGCTTGAAGACCTTCCAGTTCTTAGTATCATGTCCAGCCACTGGTATAGCATAACTCCAGACCAATAATTCCTAATCTATGGTCCTAGCAGGAGTGCTGGTAAATGTTTAACAATTAGCTTGGGGGGGGGGGTGGAGTGCGCA